GGGAAAGAACATATCAATATTCGCATATTCATTAAAAAACATGAAAATTCTTAATGGAGTATCCTCATTTTTTATTGAATTCCTAAAAAACAATATTTATAATGAATTTTAATAATTTTTTTGAATTTTTTTTAAGCTTTATTTTGACCGATTCACCCGATTTTCTATCCGGATCGGGATCGGTTTTTTGGAAGCTCGATCGGGGTCACCGATCCGTTTTTTAAACCATTGCTTTAAAATGTTAATTGAACATTATGGTTGTAAAAGAAATTTTGAATTTCAAATCCTAAAAATCGCGTAGCAACAAATCATGTAGTCTGCCTATTCCACCCTAAAAATAAGTGTTACCAGATTTACAGGATCTATGACATTTTTTGAGTTTCCAATTTTATTATGGATGATGGAAATTGATTTTAGAGCCGTAATGGGTTTTCTCAATGTCGTCTAGTCCTTTTCCAAATTCGAATCTGTATTTGTTTTAAGTTCCGTCCGTAAATTTTCATGAGAAAAAATGACCTTTGCCTCTCACTCTATAAAAAAATAAAAACCAGTTGACTCTGTGTATGTACCCTGCTCACAGAGACTTAATAAGAGACTATAGAGAGAAGAGAGGAGAGAAGAGTGGAGAGAAGAGAGAGATGGGTTCCAAAAGAGTATCAGAAATTGTTGACCTGCTGCATCTAGAGCCCCACCCAGAAGGAGGCTACTATGCTGAAACATTCAGGGATACCTCAGTCACTCTCAAAAAATCTCAGCTGCCATCTCAATGTAAGCAATCCCCTTCACCCTCATTTCATTATTATAAGTGTACATATATGTTTGTTTTATCCGATTACTCATATCACTAGTATGTGATCCAGTTTCTAGATCTATTCATTGGTTTTCAAATCAAATGAACTATTGAATATTTATTTGTACCAATTCAGGAAAAAGGACTGATGGGTATCATTCATCCTGCTTGTTTTAGTGGCTATACATGTTGAATGAATGTTTAGTTTATCAATTCTTCCATTTTGGAATTTTTGAGTATATTGTTTTGTAACAGGGTGTGGTTTGCATAAGGTTGCAACCTTAAACAATCCAATTAAGGAGCACCTCTAAATTTCATCTGATATAAAAAATTCTTAGGATGGCTTGACAATATTTTTTCATCTCTAATTATAAAATTTTAAACTCTAAAAATGGTTCAAATCAAGTAGATCTATAAACACATGAAAATCTTGAAAATGGACGATCGAGATAATGTGTTGCAAGATAGACTTTTTGTGGACTCGAAATCTTTTTTTCCTTTCATATTCACTCAATGTTGAGATGATCAATTAGAGGGTTTTCCAACATTCAAACAAGCTTTTATGATGGATTTTTGAGGTCATCTTTAATTCTACATTTTAAGGTTGCAACTTTATATAAAATTTTTCCTTTGTAATATATATAAGTGAACTTTTTTTTTTTTTGAGGAAGGCTTTATAAGAACTCCCTCTCAGTCATTTGAGAATTTGAGGGATATTGGGAACCCAAAGTTATGATTTTGAAACAAAAGAATAGGTCTAGAACAATAATTAACAGCTTACATTCAAAGGTTTTCCCTTTAATCATTAAGTTTAGGGAGGCTTGGGTGCCATTGAATCTAAAAGTTGTATGATCTTGGAGTTACATGAAATGCATCATACATTTCCTATAGATGCCTCATTACTTTGTTACATGGATTCTCTTGTTCGGGTGTTGTGCCAGTGTCAGACACTTGTGGACACACATAGCGGCACAGATTCTTCTGAATTCTTCTTCTTGTTCACTGATAATTGAGCACATCAGATATGAACTTTGATCTTCTTCCTTATTTAGGTATAAATGTGAACCTTGAAAGTCTGTATAAAATTAGCCAACTAAGTCATACTTGATTAGTTTTGGCTATGTTGGATTTTGTTGTTTCTGAAATCTTTTTTTTCCTGGCACGAGGAATCTGACATCTTGTAACCGTGTTTGACACTTACACAAGTACCCGTGTCCATGCAACATAACTGGTTACTGAGGCTAATTAGTCTCGTGGATTTACTGATTTTGTTATCACTTTGATTGAGACCCATTATTCTGGATACCAAACTCAGAAGCACTTTTTCTTTATTATTTTTTACTTATTCACATGAAAATTTTGATTAAAAAGCTAAATACCCTCAAGGATTTTATTCTACCAGTTATTGTCCCTTGAACCACCATCCTCTTTTGTCCTCCATTCATTAATCTCAGGAGCCATTCTACCAGTTATTGTCCCTTGAACCACCATCCTCTTTTGTCCTCCATTCATTAATCTCAGGAACCTTTACCGGATGGTGCTGCTCTGTTTGGTTGATTTTGTGCCTACTTAAGAAAATTAGGCCATTATAAATTGGCTAAATTTATGAATTACATTGGATTTCCTTAACTTTCCTATTGCGAAAAAGAAAAACCGACAAGTGCAAAGGGCAGTCACAATCAAACAACTATGTTTTCAGGTGAAAGAATTAGAACATATTCTCAGAGCTTGGTATTATAAATTTAGTGGAGCATCATAGAAATAGGATTCCAAGGACTGCTTTTTGATAATGCACTTTTTGCTAGGAAAAGTGGCAAATGGATTGTGATTTTGATTTTATGTGTGGATTGCACGATAACCACAAAAAACGGTTCAGCTGGAGTAAGTGCTCTTAAGATGCATCTAGAAAATTATTTTGGGATGAAAGACATAGGGATCATCTGAAATTTCCCTTTGCAGATAGGTAGGAAGTCAAATTAAAAGTATCTTCTGTTTTCAAAGCAACAACGTGTTAAACAAACATCTCTTGCATAAATATATATTACTCATTTGTAAACCATCACAACTAAGAATGTTGATCTTTAAATAAAAATATAGTGAACTGATGTTTTTCCACATGACAGTTGTAGAGAGAGAGTAACCACACGTAGGGAGAAATGGAATAACTATGGTCCACACCCTATTTCGTTATATGTCAGATTTGTGCAAATTAAAAATCTGTTTACAATGTGGAATACTTTCTTGTGATGGACATAAACAATACATAAAACCAAACATACAAAGTCATAAACAATAGATGTGCATGAATATCATGAAGGTCCCAACTTTCTAATGAGTTCTTAAGACCTAACTCATCATCTCTGAGAAAATTTTTGGGAATAATCTCTGATGTTAATTTTTTATGTTCATAGTGACTGTCAAGTTCAATATGTTTATTGCGCTTGTGAAATACTAGGCTGAGTGTTTTGCAGATGACAGCCTGATTATCACAATAGAGTGGGATAGGACTCTGAGGGGCACCTTCACCTTCTCACATGATGTTGATGCCCTAGCCAATTTTCTGCTTCTGCACTGAAGCGGCCTTCTACACTTCACTTTTACTACTCTAGGTAGCAAAGTTAATTCTAAAACAGTACAACATACAGTGTGGATCTCTTTTCAAGAGGACATCTTGCTCAATCAGCATCAATATCTATACTGCTAAATGTGATAGCAGTTTGAGATCATGGCATACTATACTCCTTCCGTAGCTACTCCCAGGTTAAAAAAGAACCAACCTACTCGTACACAAACAACCGTCAAACTCTCGAAAACAGAAAGACTTCACTAGATGCAACTTTCTCTGTTGTACTTATTTCTCCCATAAGCTGGTCAACTTTTGTTTTTTCATTATTTGACTTGTTCATCTTAAGCACGTAGACTTAGCCTTCCATGTATCTAATAGATGCCTGATGTTTAGATACTATAAACCAGACCATTTGTTTCAAAATTCTTGACACCATGAACTTTGCAATGGTGAACCTTGGAAGTTTGACATTGAGTTGTATTAGCAAAGTGAAGAAAGATAAGTAAATTCTTTTAAAATTTCTAACTTGTAGACACCATCTGACCATATGTAGATTCTTGATACCGTGAGCTTTAGAATGGTGAATCTTGGAGGTTTGACAATGAGTTATATTTGCAAAATGAAGGAAGATAAGTAAATTCTTTTAAAATTGCTAACAACTTGTAGGCACCCTACTTTGCTAGGGAAATTCCAAGGTGCTTAAAGTTAAAACCATAGCGTCTAGGCTAGTAAACACCTTACATTAGTCATCCCAGACCCTCTCAAGCCTAATAGACTCAGAAAACTATCTACACAAACCTGACACCTGGAAATCCCGAAACTGACATGTTAGAAACCAAAATCCATAACCGCTCCAAAACACATCTAAAATTGGGCTAAAATTGATTTTAAGTTGTAGAAGATGTCATAAGTTTTCTAACGATCCAAGAATCACTCAATTCCGACATATGGTTTAAAAGTTATGGCAAAACAATTTTGTTCATTGCAAATTCTGTTTCATTCCTATGTGACACATATTGCATCGCATGTGACTCATAATGTGTTGCAAGCAACACTAAATGCAAGCAGAGCCAATTTTAACCTCTTTCTTTTCCAGGGAGCTCAGGATTAGCAACACGAGTCGCATTCGCATTGCAAGCCCAAGAACTGCCTGAAATGCCCCATTCTAAAGGCCACTAAGCTACTGGGCCCACAACATCCTGTGATGCACACTGTGTTGCATGAGATACAGTATGCATTGCAGCTAGATGGATGGTCAGATTGAGCCTCCACTTGGTGGGAGCAGTTACATTCCCTGAGGCCTACATACACCACTTCAAAACTCAGTTTTATGGTCAGAACCATATATTTTGGTCCCTTAACAATAGTTTGCCCCTTTTACCATTTTGACCCTCAAACCTTAGAAACCCTAGGGCTCAAAACTGTAGCCCTAGTTCCTAGACACCTTGAGACCTTTGGAATTCCAGCAAGCTCCAACCCTTTCTCTCCAAGACTACAAACTACCCAAAAGCCTCGTGTCCTAGCTGTGCTGTAGCCTTGGATGGTCCATAGACTGCCATAGGCACCTCTCCTCTAAGGCCTTCAACTGTTTGCAATTTCCAATCGACACTTCAAATTCAGTCGAACACATGCATCTCCAGCTCAAGCACCTTCAAGGATTAAGGAACTTGTCCCTTAACCCTTCGCACTGCCTCTATCTGATGATTTGATACAAACCGCAACTCCTAGTTGCAAGCGTATGGGCCTGGCTTGACCTAGTAGGCTGCTCCTCTTCCCTTTTATCATTTTTCTCTCTTTCTATGTTATATTGCATGCTTAATGTACTTTCCTTGAACTTGAAATCTTTTCAGAACATTTCGTTTTGGCGAAACTCTTGCCAATGCAGCTAGCAGATTATAGAAAGAAAGCTCTTAGGTCAACCTTTTGTGGTCTGTAATTTGATGGAGCCCATTTTTCTACCAATTCTTTTAATTTTCATTTAGTTTAGCCATAAATAGAGGTAGAGGAGGCTTCGATTGTTGTCACCCCTCATATTTGTCTGCAAACACAACTATGACTGGTTGCAAGGAATTATGGTGGGAGACTATATTAGGTTCATCAATTTTACTGTCAAGGAGCTTAGATGGTCTTATCTGAAAATGAAGCCAATAATTTCACCTCGAAGGAGATTTTTTACGACTCAGGTGACATACATATATTAATTAGGGCAGCGTTTCCAATTTGGAAACCTACATGGATGGTTTATAATTCACATATGGCCATGTGCTAACTCAAATCATGTGGGCTCTAACAACTTTTATAATCACTAACCGATGTGGTGGTTATGACGCACCACTTACACAGTTTTCTAATTGAGGTTGGTAGAAATAGCTTGAGAATCTCCTTGACTATTAGATGATGATGGTATACATC